GATGTTTTACGTTCTTTTTCGGGGGTTTTACTGGGCAAGTATGAATGCCATAATGGTAGACAGTTATCGTATTGCCAGCTTTTGGAATTTCCCAACTTTTTCTGGCCGAACAGGGAACATACACCAATCTTGTGTTACAGTGCATACAGTTGCGTTTCTGTCCGCTTCCTATGAATTGTGTTGTATTTGGTTGACTAAATTCTTTCAAAAACGAACAATGTTTACTGGGGCACTGATGCGTACCAGAACAATTTGCTATTCTTCTTGTACCAGTAAAACCTTTTCGAGAAGAAGGAACATACCGTTGCCACTGCCTGCCATCTTTCGCTGCTTCCATTGCATTTGAGTCACCAGGTACTTTAATCTTGAAAATTAGTGTACCATCTATATTTAACGGCAACTTTTCAACATTCTGGTGTTCCACCCCTCCCAAACACTTTCATTAAGATATGTTCGGTTACCAATTACTCTAAGTGGATCGCTGAGTTCATCACTTGAATGACTCTCTTGATCACTTGAATGACTCTCTTCATCACTTGAATGACTCTCTTCATCACTTGAATGACTCTCGTCATCATTTGAAGTACTCCGTTTATCGCTTGCATCACTCTGTTTATCACTTGCATCACTCTTTTGATCAATTGCATTAATCTGTTCGTCCTTTAAATCAAACTGTTCATCAAATGTTGAGGATTTTGCAGCAAAATTACCAGAAAGATGCGGACACTTCTTATTATGAGGTTCAACAATGAAGCAGTCATCAGAACTGTCACCCAGAGCAGCATATCTGTTGTTTAAGGATAAAGGCGAAGAGGAGTCGATGTATAAATTGGGATTTATATAATCATAACGATCTTCTTTTTCATCATGCTTCTTTTCATTCTTTGGATGTTCGATAACAAGTTGTTGTCTTAATGTTGGATTACATTCATAATTCTTCTTTGTTTGAGCACTGACCACAGGATTGTAATGATCATGTGAATTGGTGAGATGGATTGTACGATGTGAAGAGATGCCAGGCTTGTTTGGTTCGACAACAACATTCCTAATACCATGATCTGTTGCTTGTATAACATCAACTGTGATTCCTGTACAATTGGCTACAGCATGGAGACACAGATCAACAATATCCTGGTCATATAAACCTTTCTCCTTGTATAAACGCCACTGCTTCACCATGTCAATGTTACCCAGGAATGGCCCATAAAAATCTAGGTTGTTCATTATTTCGACTTCTATGATGTTCAGTAACTGGGATGTACTATCAATTTGGACACCAATATGTTGTTCTGTCAAGACCACAAATAATGAGTAAATAATGCAGTGACCATCTCCAGGCACATTTAATACAGCCTTTTCCCAGCTGTTTACATACTGAGATAACCTTTCTCTAGCTCTTGGACAACTATTAAAAATTAATAAAACAATTTTTTTAAAAAATTTGCATTTGCACGTGTCATTGATCACACACAAATACATACATCAGAAGTATTAGTATTTCAAAACAGTATTAACACATGCTTTAGTCCGTCAAATTACCCGTAATATATTGAATTCATCTGAGAAGGTATATTGATTCAACTTAGTTGGTGTGCCGTTTAACAAAAGTTATTCTACTGATGGGATGAATTAATCAAGTTCGCAGTTTAGAACAATCAAATCACAATAATTATATAAGCCACTGATGAACATTTCTAAGTTCTTCATTAAGCTAGCTTATTTTCGATTTCGCTAGAATTTTGTCCTTCACAGGTAAGATTTGTATTGTCGGCAATAGTGTAGGTTTTGACGTTTTTACACTATTTGGAAGGTCATTTATATATAGAAATAGAATGGAGCCAAGATTAGAACCCTGTGGTACCCCACATTTAATATTTTTTGCAGCCGACACCTTACCATTGACTGAACAAACCTACCTGCTTTCTGTCTTTAAGATAAGATTTAAACCATTGAAGGCTATTCCCTTCAATGCAAATGCAAACAAAAGGACAGGGTCAATGGCAAAAGAAAAACAACAAACAATATATTAGACACCAAAGAGTTATATACTGCAATGTACAATATAAATTGTATTCCTAAGCTTTGTATGCTAAATTTAATTATAATACTGTTTTGAAATTCAAATACTAATACTTCTGATGTTTGTATTTGTTGGTGATCAATGAAAGGTGCAAATGCAAATTTGAACACATTTTACTACTAAGGATTTTTTTGCCGTTTTGTGGTTCCGTATTGTAGTTACAGGGCTCAAAATAGAGAGTTTAGCAATGGCAACGAGTTTAAGTACGATTACGAAATTCGTCATTTTCGCGCCAAAGCCGTGTTGTTTGCTTACGCCAATCCCGTCAAACTCGTAGTCATCCAGCTTTTGACTACGATATTTTCGGTAAGTACCAGTGAACTGTAAATACTTTGTTTCATGTGTGACGTCATACGCAAATGGTCTATAGCTTATGCTTACATGACCGGTAAAAAACAGATTTAAACCGCGAAATTTGAAATGCCATTTAGACCGGATAACTATCGGCTTCTTTTTTGATCCCTAGCTGAGTTATACAAACGATTGTTTTTGCGTATGATTTTTGGGTTGGATGTACAATTTAGAAGCGAAAATACAGATATGTTTAACTTATTTACGAAAATGTTGTAAAAAGCGTCCGCCATCTTGCATTTTAGGTGGCTCCCTACAGTTTTCTAAAATTTTAAGTATTTTAGGTAACCTTTGTTTTGAACCAAATTTATATTAAACACACTTAAGACAGGGCAATATAATCATTTCCAGGAAAGTTCAGAAGTCTTCTGCTGTCGACATATGAACAAATAGGAACAGTGTTAGTGTTGCCATGGCAACCATGACGTTTCATCTTTTGCACTTTTATTGTCTAATTTTACAATCAAACGGCAATATCTTTTTTTTCCTTCGGCCAATTTTTCTGAATTTTTTTTTTAAGATTTATGGTTGAAAGGGGAATGACATATTAAAATTTGAAGGGATGTTTATAAGGCAGGTTTTGAGATATTCATGAATAACGACTACAAAAAATCTGTCTTATAGAATTTCTTGAAATTTTGATGTTTGGCGAATCGTCATGCTTAGCAAACGTGCAAAGTTTAAAACATTTTCACCGAAGGAAACGCGAGAAAAATAGCCCTAAATCCAGTTGAAGCTGTTGACGTGACAAAATATCGATTCGACATGATCACTATTTGTGTGAGGAACACGAAACGCGTACGGTTTATAGTTGGCTTTTTTAGCAATTTTCTCTTGTATCACACAGATATTTTTTACTTAGTTTGAAATGAAAATAAAAGATATATATATTCAAAATACAAAACATTGAGAACACAATAACGCACTGACTTAATCCAACGTTTCTTAAATTTAGTTTTGTTGTGAAAATCGGTGTGAAAACTTTTCAAAACATTCAAGTAGAGTTTGACTTTTCGTATAAAACAACTCGTAACTGTCTGCATTATAGTTTTATTAATATTGGATACAGCAGATAAAAAAAGTACATGTGAACTGAGTTGAATGACAGGATTTACGTAAGTTTAAGTGATAGTTCAGGAGTGCCTTGAAGACAGAATAAAATATAATAATTTTCAGTCCGTGACACTGTTGTTGAACATTGTGAGCATTATTATGAAATACAGTACTGAAACGTATTAAATATATAAAAAAAAAACACACAGAAGGTAGGTAAAAAACTAGCTAACAAAATACGTACTGTTCGAATGTTGAAAAGTTTAGGATTATAATAAAAAACTGGCGTTTTCTTTGTAGATAAAAATACAAAAACAACTTCCCGCGGCTTGTTTCAGGATTTTTACCGGACCACGAAGATTCCACGCGCGAGTCGCGAGGATGACGTCTGAGCTATATAAATGTTTTAAACTGGACTATAACTGTAGGGAGCCACCTTAATTCAAGCTATACTTGAATATCTGCATCAGATTCCTGACCACATAAAAAATGTTATCAAAAGTTTATATACTGATTTCAAAACTTCCGTCATAACTTATGAATTCCGCACTCCATTCACAACTGTTGGCCATGGAGTGCTACAAGCCGATTGTCTCAGGCTCACTCTCAGCCCTCTGCTGTTGAACATGTGCTCTAATACTTTCACTCAAAACATAAAAGCTGACAACTACCGTCAATTTGGTTTCATATTTAACTTCCTGAACCCCATTCACTGGTTTCAATCGCTGATGACGCGGCTGTTATCACTGGCCAAGATTATGAAAACCAACACCTCTTAAACCAATATTGTAGTCGATGATCATATTGTTCGTCGAAAAAAGACCGAACACATTCAACACAACCAGCACTGATGCACTGTCGATAAGTGAAGGTGAAATATTGCTAATGGATCCATCAATGGTCGTTTAATTGGGTTGTTATATACTCACGCGAGATTTCACTTGGTAGACTTTTAATAAGTCAAAAATGCCGTTTTAATTTTATTTGCCTATTTAATTGCATTTGTTATGTTTGATATTCTTGATATCTTTCGAAGGGCTTATATAGTCAATCTAATCCAAATTAGATTAGAGCAAATTGACGAGTATGACGTCAGCACCCGACATTTTGACTTATTAAAAGCTTCAACATAGATTCTGTTGCGCAAGCTCAGAAAATATTACCATAAATATTCAAACTATTCAAACTTACCACCAGAAAAACAGAACAGGAATTGCGGTGATAGCTGTCGCAAGCAAGAACATTCTCCACGCAGGAATTAAGTAACCAATCAGAGGCAGTATCGATATTCCCACAGCCCAAAACACGAAGGACCCGATCCCCATCCATGAACGATATTTGTCAGTTGTCAATTCCGTAAGCATAGGAAAACTAGTGCAATTTCGTAAGCCTGTGGAAAACGTAGATTGCTGTAATATAAATACTAGGAATGGATAATGCATCCATACTTGGTAAAAATGAAGCGAATATCGTGCGACTTTGAACTAAGGCCTGTTTTATACGTCGAATTTCGGTCGCGTCGAATGCAATTCAAGCAATAGATAATTAACAATTATTGAATGAGGTTGAGCACGATATGAAGAATTATCAAGCCCTCAGTTTCCCGTTATCAACCTAAGCCTTCGGCTTCGGTTGATAACGGCAAACTGAGGGCATGATAATTCTTCATATTGTGCGAAAACCGAATTAATTTAATTAATTAATTTATTAACTTTGCCAGATTCAAACAATTAACGTTAACACAAAAACTGGCAGGGCAATCGCAACAGCTTGCGCCAATTGCTGCGATCCCTAAATGTTGGGAAAAAAAATATAGGTACATAGAAAAATCAATTACTATTATCAGATTCAACTTTTCACATTGCGACCCGCAGGACCACTTCTAATTTCGGAAGCTGACTGAATCAGAAGATGTTTAACCCTCACAATCCTAAACCTTCAGCAAAACCCTGGATAGGCCCCATAGATACCACTGCGAAATGCTACTTTTGAAAACTATTAAAATCTAAAATGAACACGTTACCGATCTTGTCAGGTCACGAGTTTGATTGCATTTTAAGCAAATTGATTTCCATGTTCGTGGATCGTCAACGTCATAACATTTATCTAATGCTGTCTTATAATAGATACTGTATAACTCCTTTAAGGTTGCCATGCCATTACTAGTAAATAAATCCCTTGGCAGTGTATTCCAGACTCTAGTAGTCCTTACCAGATAGGATTTTTGATAGGTAGATGTTTTACATGCTGAAGTCTGAAATTGTAGGCAGTTAGGGTTATAGATCGGGTACGTTGATTTGAATCTTGAGGGTATGGTAGTCTGTCGCTGCTTAGGTTAATAATGTCATGCTGTGATTTGAAAAGGAACAATATGTCTAGCTACTCGTGCCAGTAACACAAAAGTAGTAGATTCAATGTTGAGAGACGATGGTTATAGCTGATGTCACAGAAGAAAGGTAGGTTCAATACGTATTTTGACGCTCGTCTTTGAACGCATTCTGTACGTTTAATGAGGTCAATAGTTTGTGGAGCACAGACTTGGGACGCGTATGCGAGGTGGGAACGAACGAGTGTAAGATATAGAGTCCGACGAACAGAAATGGTCTTGATTTTGATCGTGGACCGTCGAATATACACGAGGGATTTGTTGGCTTGGGCGCACTGGTGGAGGACCTGTTTGGACCATGTGAGGGTGGAGGAGGTCCAGACGCCAAGGTCACGGTCGCAATCTGTGGTTTTCAGAGAGGAATCGTGCAACTTGTATGTATGGTCGATTTTGTTTAGTTTTCTAGTAATTCGAAGCGTCTTACATTTATCTGTGTTGAAGAGAAGATTAGCATTGGCAGAGGAGGTTTGGAAGTTCGCAAGATCATTCTCCATAGCGGATGCATCAGCCTTCGCGTTTATCACCTGGTAAATCTTTGTGTCGTCAGCAAACGTCGCAATCTTCGAGTGGTTGATGGAGTTGGGGAGATTGTTCTGATATAATAGGAACAGTAGCGGTCCAAGGATTGAGCCTTGGGGAACTTCGTAGGTTACTGGTAGTGCTGATGATGTTGCACCAAGTACTGTAGTCTGCTGCTGACGGTCCTTGCATGATGTAAGATCTAAACCAGTTAAGAATATTGCCACCGAATTCAATAATTGTTTTATTATTTATTTAAAAATTCAAAACAAACGGTCATCCATTTGTTTGCCCGCGTTAATCAGCCAATCAAGAATTAGGAAAAGTATTCTTACTTGTTCTAGAAGCTTTTGTTGATCTTTTTGTATTTAACGAATCTTTATCTTCCAGTAATTTTTGAATTTCGGCTTCGCCAAGGTTGGCGAACCTTTCAGTGGAAGAAGCCATTTGTATTTTATTTGTATTAAGAGAAAAACAATTCTTTAGTGCTTCGGCAGCCGTCGTCGTCGTCAGCGAGTCAATATGATTATCATCGTCATAGTAATATGGCGCAAACGCGTCCAAATTTGTTTCATATTGACTCTTTGACGTCATTTTGCTAATATGAATGTGAAAAATCCAAATTTGGTTAACATTGAGTTGATATGACAATTTCACAGTTGGCTGTTAGCCAATCAGAAACCAGGAATAAATAATAAATGAAGCTTAATGAGGTTTATCATCTCATTGTCTATTGTCTTAATTGCATTCGACGCGACCAAAATTCGACGTGTAAAACAGGCCTAAGAGGTCAATTTGATCTCAATCTTCTCATAAAACCAAGTATCGTGCATGAAGTATACATGAGAGTGTAACAAAAAAGGTAATCCAACTTTGGCATGTTACCGACTTATCGTGCATTATAGATATTACGTTTATCCATTTACTTTTTTCATACCAATAAAGATCAGCCTTTTTGGCTGTCGAATGCTATCTTTCCCGAATCATATTGCGATCTAAAATAGCTAAACAAGATTCGATTGAAAACCGTTGGAAATTGTATGTAAAGCTGTCAGTGTTGTCTGAGTAATGAAATTATTCTCACTGAGGCCCCTATAGAGTAAATTAAAATGGCGCAACGCATGTGTAAGCATCAAGTTTTGATAAACTTTTACTCTTAAAAGTTAAATTTACATCGAAATTGAGTGTCTAAAACACTTATAACAACACTGCAAGCTTGCAGATTAAAATACTTAACAAAATGGCATACGTTTCCCGAATGGGGACCAACATTTTGACAAATGTTCGAAAATTGGAAGAACATTTAAATCCCGAAGGTGGTAAAATGCGAATTCAACCGTCAGATCGCATTTTTCTATCGCAGTCATTCAATAAAGATGTCAAATGACAGCTAACTGAAAGCGTGATCTTGATAAATACGAAAAGGAAAACCTGCATATTGACGTGTTAATTAACGCATGATAACATGTCAAAGTTGGATTACCTTTTTTTGATACACCCTGTATACAACTATAGGCTATAACTATATAAAATCCTTGGGTGGAACATGATTATTTTTCCTTACATCTGTAATATTCCTACCTCTATAATTCATATTCCTACCTTAAAAACTCTTAACAAAACTGTGGACCGGGCGGGGAAGAGAAACAACCATTCCCATTGTGTTTCAACTTGTATACATATATTACCATCAATATGCATGTTCACAATACTTAAAACTTTTTATTCAATATGTTCAATATTCCTGGTTAATAAGAAACATGCATATGTAAGAAGACGTTTTATATAATAACTACAGTGAAACACGCAATTTGGTTGGTCAATAGCCGTGCAGGATCAGGCTATCCTGCACGAGGAATTAAAATGCCTTCGCGGGATTTTCGCGGGATTCTCAAAATGTCATTGTTTCACTGTAGTTATTTTATTAAACAATTACTAAATGGTTTTCCAAGCAGGATAGCATGATCCATGCACTTGGGATGTTGCTCGACTTTCCGAAAGCGTAAAAATACACTCGCCTGCGGCTCGAATATTTTTACGCTTTCCGAAAGTCTCGCGACATATATCCCTTGTGCATGGATCACGCAATCGTGAACGGAAAATCATTCGGTATTCATTTATTGATATCGCGCGTGCCAAGTTGAAGCTGAAATAAACAGCTTGGAACATGATAAACATACTGATTAATATTTTTAGCAAATTTATATCTAACAGTATATAAATTCAAGTTAATGAGACAACACGTTTGTCACCTTCAAACCTGGTTATAATCTCATAGTAACAGGATAAGCTTGTCAACAGCCACAAAAAGGCGATATCCAATAGTCCAAAGTTCAAATGTTTCTCTGGGCATGTGTAAAACCGAATGAAAGATCAACTGACCAATCATATGTCAACAACGAACACGCAGAACAAAGGTCAATGTGATAAGGGAGTTCACTTTGACAAATATCCCAACAAAGAGCAATGTCTTGTTACCGGGAAAGAAAATTTGAAAATTTGACTTGGTGCGGAGCTGTAAAGAATTACGGACATCGAATGAACTGAGACAATGTGACAGAAAAGAGTTTATGAACGCTGAAATTGACATATCATGGTTATATTAAACAAAATTTGGTCAGTAACTCAGTATGATAATTCAGTGAGACGCAGTTTATTCAAATAGAACTCTACCAGACAAGCGCTTTTACTCTTCTGGTGGACAAAGGAATACGTTGGCCCAAGTCCCGACGAAGTTATTACCATTAAATGAAACCGCCGCTGGGGGAATAACAACAAGATCGATAGGCTAAAGCCGCTAAACACGAAATCAACAAGCGTTCAATTGATATCATTCCATGTCTCAATGCACATGCTTCCTAAAGTGAAGCGGTATTCTGCGCGTAAGTATGCAGTGCATTGACACGTTTGTTTCGTATTCCGCATCTCAAACCAACCAAAATGTATTAAAATTCGTCTATTTTATAACAACATTCTGTGATTCTGGACAGTGCCAACTCTCATGCGACTTTCATCACGTTTAATCAGGGCTAAATCATTTTCAAGGTGTAATTTACTATTACGTTTGATATACGCCGAATCCCTGATTTATTGTTGTTATAGGTTAAAGCAACGAATATCTCTTTTAAACGTTGGCAACCGCCGGAAATTAAAGCTGTAATTTGTAAAGCATCCGACTAACCATTATACTACCATCTGATTAAGTTTGGCTACTACTAAAAAGCGATGCAGCGATACAACGATATTAATAGGAACCGCAACCTGGAACTGGAACCAGGCAAAATGTATGGAAATTATCGCACTTAAAGGTACAGTTCAGCCTTTTGAATGATGGTTTTTAAGGAGCATTTCAGCCCTTTTAATTGAAAAATTAACTAGGAAAATCAATTAAAGAATAATTCAAGATCAACAAACTAGTTGAATGTTTTTAACATTTAAAAACATTTTTATTGTTAAAAACATTGAGTCCGGCACTGATCTCGAATTATGCATATTTGATTTTCCTAGTTATACTAGTTTTTTCAATTAAAAGGCCGCTGAAATACGCCCTAAAAACCATCATTCAAAAGGCTGAACTGTGCCTTTAATTAATCACCGTAGGAGACATGACCCGTTACCCGTAGATGTTTGAAAAACTACAGTCGTATACGGCGTACTAGAATGCTCAGAGAAAAATTCTATTGTTTGTGATCACGTATTCATTAAGGAGGTACATAGGGCCGACAGAGGTTATTGATATACAGTATGGTGATAAAATTTTATTACAGATAGGTGCAGATAATACACCGGGTATAAAAAAATGTTTAACTTCGTATGATAGTCATAACTTCATGTCCACTGTCGAATCATATGGTAAAATCCCGTTTTTAAGGCATATATTCCTGCGAAAACATCAGCCTCCCTGAAAAATTTTATGGTTAATAATGTCTTCTGCGCCGTACGGCAGTCGTGCGATAATTTGCATAAATTATGCGCGGTTTCAATTCCAGTTCCAGGTTGCTGTTCCTGTATCGTTGTGTCACTGCATCGTTTTTCGTAGCAGCCGATTATAAGTTCGTCAGTTTGTGATATACAGAACTACCTTGTTCTATAATGTCTCTCTATATATATGTATGTAAGAATTGAACGATCGACTAGCAGAACGGCTTCGAAATCTATTAATAGTTCTACCATGCATCATTCCGTAACTGATATTTTGTTTTATATGCAACACGTCGCGAGTTATAGCGCTATATATAACATATCTGGTATTAACTTCCCTATGCTATTCAAATTATCTATCTCATCAAATGCAAAATATATTCAGTAGATATATTATAGTGATCAAAGTTTTACCACGAGTATAGTCTTCTGATTTGCTGTGAGCCTTTGATGCATGGAATTTATAGTGTTATCACCTTATGACATGTCTTTAATATTGCGATAGAAAACTTGCAATATCAAATGACCATATCATATTGCTTCTGTGTTTGTGCACAGTGTGAGGTCGATAATCTTCAAGAGTATGCCCCTCGAGTTTTATTTTTATTTTACCCTGGAGTTTCATTTTTATTTCTCTTTATCAACTTTCTTAGTCTGCGATGGCAGACTGATCTCATCTAGTATCGCAGATTAGCTTTATTGTACACAAAAACTCAAGTTTAGATTAGAAGGTGTGGGCGGTAAGTCCAATGGAGCTAGTGGGAGCTCCATATATATCTGGAGTGCATGAGAACTCGAGTCCAAAAGTGAAGCCAAGATGGCGGAAACTGAAGTGCCAGTGGACGTCTGTTCAATAACACAAGTCCCATTTTATTGTTATGCGGTATATTGGTCTAATTAATTGCAGGTATACCCTTATTTGTTACTGCGTAACTATTTGTATAATTAGAGCTGTTCTTCCTCTCTCAGGCTCAGCATAGATAGCTAAATTTGTAGCTGGATTTTGAATGAACGCCTAGGATTCATTTACGGTAAAAAGTAGTAGTCACAAATAGTCCCACAAGCTTCGCTATGTAAATGATCCATACATGACCATTGCATTTACTGTCAGCGGTTACAGCCAACCTATTCAAAAGTTTGTTGTCACTATCTTAAATGTTTGTTATAAGAGGGGTATATATACAGGTTGATCGACCCGGATTTTTAAGGCGCCGCAGGGCACCGCAGAGCGTCGCAGTATCATTGGCATGAAACAGGGCGCCGCGTCATCATTAACATGTATGCATGAAGTAACTCAAGGCGTGCTTGGGCGAGTTTGGAGAAACAGTCATTAAACTGAGTACACCATTTTCATCGCAAAAGACGAAGCCTATTATATATATGTATACATTAATTTGAGTATCATTTCCCTGCCAAAGCAATACGAGAGAGTGTCTCACATGGAAAACGTATATAGTCTTAATAGTCATGACCATACTCATGACTAGCTGTTAAGACTATGCGGACAGTATTGTCATGACTATTAAGACTCGATAGTCATAACTATATTAATAAGGGGGGAGTTAACCTAAAATCTTCAAAAAAAATCAAAATTTCTTTTTTACATATTTAATGACTTTGGGACTTTAGCTAACATATGTGCCCAAACCGTTTTTAAAAATTCAAAATCATTCGACCTACTTTGGAAGATTTTAATATGCATTACCTAGTTTTTTGCCCGTTTCCATGGCAACCAAAATGGCATTTTTTGTTTGTTTGCCACTTTAACTTGATTGTTCGCTAGCCAGCGCTTCGAAAGCAAGTGATTTACATAGTACCCTTTGTCGTGTACTACATAAAGTATTGGTGCTGTTATAATTTGGTGATTGCTGGCGCTCATTGCCATGCCAAAATTGTGATCAAAGTTTTCAACTGAAATAGTGAAATACTATTTTCGAACATGAAGAGAAATCAATCTTCGCTCTTTAATCTTTGCTTTTTAACATAAACAAATGGTTGGAAAAAGCTCCAGATCTTCATATAAAAGAAAGAGGAAAGGGACTTTTTTGGCGCGCCAAAGATACAAGAAAGACGAGGCTTTATTACAGGTAAACTGCGTGAAGCGTTCCTCTTTTGACTTCGTAACTCATTTATTGGAATTTTCCTCATTAACTTTGCAAATTTGAAAAACTCTTTGCAAATCCGTTGATATAATTTGCAATGTTCCTATCGACTGTTGCAATACTCCAATACAAACAAACGTCATTTTAAATTTTCCTAACTTCCTGTTTTAATTTTCTAACTTCCTTTCCTGTTCTGGGCGTTGTTATTGGTCGATTATATTTGTTAGCCAATAGCAATGCGCAGAACAGAACAGGAAGGTAGGAACTTGTAACAGGAAGTTAAGAACTTCTAACAGGAACTGAGGAAAATTTAATTGGCTTTTAGCAACATTGCAAATTCCCTCAAGGGATTTGCAAGGGAGATTTTTAAATTGCAAAAGTAATAAGGAAAATTGCAATCAACTTAGGAACTCAAAAGAGGAACGCTTCACGTAGTTTACCTGTAAATGTCTCAAAATTCATCACGTAGTGACGTATCAGACGTCTCAAACAGGTGAAGTTGATGTTCAAAATATCGTTGGAACCTCAAGAAAGAAAATACGAGGTTTTGAGAATCCTCAAAACTGTCAAGAATACTGGGTTATTACATACCTAATTTTAAGAATTTTTTATCACTGCACATTTTTGTGCAAAGTTTAGCCGAGCACTAGCACGCCCTGGACATTTCTGAACACACCCTTATAATAATATGTGTAACAACAAAGCAGGCTACAATTCGTATTCAAAAATGCGAAAACGAACATACACTGCACAGCACTCACTCCAGGGAAATTTGGGGGCCCAGGACAAACTTTGAGTTAGGGGCTCTCGTGATTCAATGTTCTAACACTATGATTAGGGGGTCCGGGGACATCCCCCGGAAAAAAATCTGAGGTCCCAGAAATGGCCAAATCCTGCATTCTGGAAGTCTAGTTGACAGTTATATCTATGTATATTTCAATGCAATTCTTTATTTGGGCCCTCCTTTAACTGGGGTCCCAGGGCAAATTGCACCCCTCTGGGCGGCCTTGACAGCACCGGTTACGACTATCTGTGACAGCTTAGTTTCATAATAACATGACTGAAGAAAATAAATATTTTCGTCTTGGCAAATGAAAGGCGGCTTACGGGCTTAGGCGTGACAAACCTGAGCCAATTTTGCAATCTAGGCACTATAAAAGGGCATCTCCTGCAATGCGCGGGGACATTCTATAGAATTCTGAAAATTATACAGTAATTACACAATCTTATTAAGTATCATTCACTCCATCTTCCAAACTTATAAAGAGATCTTTGGTGAGAGACTTTGTTCATCTGATGAATCATAAGAATGTTATTAGTGCGGACGTTCGATAATTTGGCAGTCATCATTTCAATTTCAATTCAATCATTTTCATTCAAAATATTTCGCCGGATTAGTTCAGTTTTTCTGCTCATTGTCTCATTTCTCTTGTGTTAATTAACAACTTATCAAAGCAAATTTTATCACTGCACATTTTACATTTTATCATTGTACATAAAACTTTTTTCACTGCAGTTTTAAAACAAATTTGTTGGTATATTTTAACTGATTTATAAACTTCCATATTTAAATGGAACGATTGTGATAATTTTATTTAGCTGTCAAATAACCGGTCGGAACTATTAACTGCCGTCGAATACCTCTAGCCTGCGCCGCAGACGATATATCATATTTGCTCCCGTATAGTTTATATTTCATAATACGGAACGCAAACCAATGTACAAACTGTTCCTCTTTTCGCCTAGACTCGTGTTTCTTCATCAGTATATGCAGGTAATTTTGGGGAAATTATCTGATGCTGCTAATACATAACATATATCGATTTAAGTAATATATCGACGGCCGGACAGAGAAACATACTGACTGTTTTGGTTAGTCGCGTCAAAAAACCTAGCAATACTATAGTTCTCGCAAGAATATTTGTTTGTTGAATATGTTCTGTTATAAAATGCTTTCATATTATATTTGTGTACGATGTGTTTTTGAGATATTCATATATAAACAAATAGTTCCATTTGACAATATATATAGCAGATGCCAGATTTAGCTACAGTGCAATCATACCTGCGAAGTATACTACAGCCTACTACAGTTTATTATTTATACTGCGCAAGATCCGTAACCGCATAAAATAATAGTAACATACAGTATACTAGTGATTTAAATTCCTTAAGATACGCAGCTTTCCCTGAAACAGATTTCATGTCTTTACGCACACTTAATTTTGTCATTTAGTTACAATTCCAAACGTTTTTCATGATGGTTTTCCGTAGATCATAGTACATCTACCACTATATATCAGATTACCAAGGCATGTTGTCTTTAATAGCGAGAAAACGGCTCCCTCATCTCCGCTTAAATAAAGGCATGTGCAACTGATTTCTTTTGTAAACTATAACTCAGTCTTCTGTAGTTATATTAATGTAAATAAAACATGCGTAAGGCACACAATAAGCTTTTATCGAAGTCAAGAAACCAGCTAACTCAAGCCGCGCAGCATGAGGTGAAGTAAACAAATATGAACCTCGCGTGACTTGCATGACAGATCTCCTTGGCTTCTATGAGTTAAAGAACAGAACTTTTCCCCAAAAACTATCGGGTAGTGGTCTCTGTGTGTTGCACACTCCTGGATGTCCTTTATTTCGATCACATGTTTGACTTTTATGGCAATAATCTATCGAACTAAAAAGGCAACACAGCGGGAAGCGAAGCAACAACATGGCGCATCACACTGTAAAAACTGATTGGTCGAAATGACCAAAAAAAATTGGTCACCTGGATGCATCTGAGAGAACCAATTAAAAATGGTCGTTTTAACCAATAAAATTAACCATTAATTAATTGGTCATTTCAACCAATAATAATTGGTTAATATAACCAAATATTTTTGGTTGTTTTGACCAATTAATAAAATGGTTAATTTTATTGGTTAAAACGACCATTTTTAATTGGTTCTCTCAGATGCATCCAGGTGACCAATTTTTTTTGGTCATTTCGACCAATTTTTTTTTGTCATTTCGACCAATTTAATGTCACAACCTATACACTGCATTAAAATGAAGAAAATTTGTGAGTCTTACATCACTGAACATGTATATATTATATACATGGAATTTAATAAAAAATATATCATTACAATATAATAAGACAATTAAATAAACTAGAGCTACAGGTACCTTAGAACTATGTGAGAGCAATTGCAAAGGAATACAATTACAATTGCTGTGTTGAGTGGTTATATTACTACCTCAAAAAAAAAACAAGCAGAAACTCAACATTTCGAGCGAAGGGTCTTTGCTCAAAACATTCAGTTTCTGTTTGCTTTTTTTTTCAGGTAGTAATATAACCACTCAGCACAGCAATTTCACATTGGTACTACCCACGCTGGTACTGGTATACAGACAGTTTTAATACAATTACAAGCCTGCCAGCATGAATTGAACCTGCAGCCCTGCAATTCTACTGCAGCCCTCTGACCTAAAGAGTCCTTTTGCCAAGATGTAACTTTCTGTATAATTATACCATGATGGTGGTGTCACTGGTAGTATATTAAATAAACTGGGATGACACTAGTATTGTATAAATGAACTCTTGGTTAGCTTGATGGATTCTTGGCGCTTGGACTCTCAGGGCTTGATGGACTCTCGGCTGTTAAGGAACTGTTCTGAATCACAGGGCAACAGGTTCCATTCCCGGCACAGTACTTATTACATAGTTATTGTTCAAAATTTCCATCTACAGAAATTTGGCTTTAACCCATTGAGTGGCAACACTCTCTCCTTCATGAGTAAAATTGTCTGGCATTAGACAGAAAAAATAATAAGGTAGAGCCCATTGCCACATAAAAGGTTAACATAATTCTCTTCAATGTAGAATATTTACAAGTTAGTATAATATACCTGTACTGCATGTAGTGTTGTCACTGCTCAATCAAGCATGTCATACAAGTCCACTAGTTAAAATTTAAAAGTACAAGCTTCATACCACAAGTCAGCAACTCCATTCCTTGTCAGGTTTGTTAATCCTGCATAAACATACTCTCCAGCAAAAGAATAACATTTTCCAAATAGACTATGCAGTACTTAAAATGCCATTAATGATTATATATATTGCCACTTGTTTAGACAACTTGCCTTCTGCTGGGAAGCTTTTATTAATAACTTTTCATTCAGGATCAGGATATATAATGAATCCATATTAAATACAATCTCTATTAAGAAAAAAATACATATTAAGGTTGATATATAATGGTAGCAAATTATTGATTGATTGACAATGAATTTCCTATTTTTGGTTAGTGTACAAAGCAAGAAATACAAAATTCAAATGCTTTCACTTGACATGTTTAATGTAAGGCTAGCATGCAATTGAAGTAACATCTGCATCCAATACAACTATTCTCACTGGTAAAAGACTGTTTAAAATACTGGTGCATAACAACTGTTTTTTCCAAAATTCCTAATTGAAAAATATCATTCTATATAATCCAGCAAGGTAGATTTAGTGGCTGTTTATATGAGGTGATGGCACCTGTGTACCTGAGCTGGCCCAGTTTTGGTGAGATCCAGACTTTGTTATAATATTCTATATATTTCAACTTGTGTTTTACTTTATAATATAGAACTGAGCTGGACTTTTTTAGGAAGATGGGGGCTTCGGTGGCAAAGCTGTTATATGCACTTGCCATTCACCTCTAAGGCTGCAGGTTCAAGCCTCAGTGAGAACTTTCTCAATGCGACTCAAACCCAGTCCTCATGTGAAGAGTAAAAGTCAACACTCTGTCGAAAGTCATGGGTTTTCTCCAGGTACCCCGGTTTCCTCCTACAGGGAAAGTTGACAGGGTGGGTGATGTAAAAGAGCCAACAGTAATTGGCACATGCTGTTGTGGTGACACCTAGTTGGCAAAGCTAAATAAATAAACTTAAGATACTGCCACAATTGACCCAAAATGTTGCTAATGCCAAACTAAGATTTTCCATATAAACTATATACAATGACCCGGGATTTGGCACAGTATTCATGCTTTGTTTAGGCATAATGTAATCTTCTAAATGACATTTCCCAATCAATTTGAATATTAACCCATTAAGCTGTAGAGTTGGAGTTTCCCCATTGACGAGTAAAATCATTTGGCCAGAGGTGTAACTTAACACTTGCCTGGGGCAAGTGAATATCATGATGGGCAAGTAAACACTTTATCTTGCTGCCGATTGGGCAAGTTGCCTTGCCACTATTCATTGTCAGATATATTTTGTTTTATAGTGCATGGACTTGGTTCAAATTTCATTTTTTGTGCATCAAAGCTATATCTGAGGCAGTATAACATAGCCATATAGCGCAGTGGGAGAACAGGTTGACATGTTGTCCCCTTAACCCATTGAGTCGCATTGCACCCTGATGCACCCTACTTTAGTATGTTACTCTGTCTAACGCCAGACGATTTTACTCGTCAAGGGGAGAGCGCTGGCGCTTAATGGGTTAACTGGCCTATCTGCCCATGTGTCTAGTTAACCCATTGAGTCGCATTGCACCCTGATGCACCCTACTTTAGCATTTTACTCTGTCTAACGCCAGACGATTTTACTCGTCAAGGGGAGAGCGCTGGCGCTTAATGGGTTAATTTATACCCCCTACTTAAGTACCCCAAGCAGCCATTGTCTGATGGCAAGTGAATTTATTCAGAGCAACTAATCTTTATGACCAACTTGCCCTGAGGGCAAGTGGTCAAAAAAGTAAAGTTACACCACTGCTGGCGGTAGACAAGTAAATAAAATAAGTCGGTCGCACTAGGGCACATTGCGGCTCAATGGGTTAACTAGAGACATTGTCAGATTTTTTGGTTAACCCATTAAGCTGCAGAGCTTCCCTACTGAGGAGTAAAAGCGTCTGGCGTTAAGCAAGCAAAAAAAATAAGTAGGGCATACTGGGGCGCATTGTGGCTCAATGGATTAAAAGATCTCTGTGATTTTTTTTGTAAGTTACATTTCAAAACTGTGTGCAAAAGTATGTCAATTTATTTTATTGGAAATTATACAACTCAGTCTGGGTGATTTGTTTTGGCAAGCATGTTCATCTAAAGAGGCTCATGTAAACAGACATTCATCCAGTGAAAGCGGGCTATAACCAGGTTAGTTACCTGGACTGGCTTGCCTTTATATAAGCGGCCCCTTGCACATGTTTTAGGCTGAGTGGCTGACTGATAAAGCCACACATTGGGAAAGGCTGTCTACATGCTATTAATGTGAATATATACTAATACTCTTTAAAAGTGTGGGTAGTACCAATGTAAAAATACTACCTTAAAAAACAACTCGAGTCGACGTTTCGAAATTTATGAAGGCCCTTCGTCAATAGTGTAATTATGCATATTTCAAACAAATCACATTATTATAAAAGTATACATGTCAAGTGTCAACATAGCAAATACTTAACAGAACAACACATATGTATATCACAGAAATAAGCCGTATACGATTTTCTTAGCAATACAGATAAGTAGAGACTGTTATGTAAACCGAAATTTACAACTGAACGTTTAGATGCCTTCGTAAAATCGGCACAAAGCGACTATAAAATACAGGCCTTCGATTTAAAAATATAACTACACAGTCTGTCAAGTAACTACCCGCATACAAATAAGTAAATACACAAGAGACATACCTTTGAAAACAATCTCCTTGTGTTCTATTAAGTCTTTCGATCTTTATAAGCAGAAAATTTGAATATAAATCTTTCCTGTTTGAATGTTTGCTCCCAAAAGATCGAACTTAGCGCGCTGATGTGAAAAGATTGAATTACTACAACACGTGATATATTCTAAGCATGGTAATTGGTTGAAACTTTGAAACTTCCACTTGGCGCAAATTATATTCAGCAGAATTCAGCAGCAGGACTTTCCACAAGTTCAAATTACAGATTTACGCAGCAAATAAAAATAAACAACTGATATACTGAGAGCAATGACAGTACATTAATTTGACGAGAAAAACTTGATCGTCGCGCGCGATTGAACAATAAGAAGCCGATACTGCTAATTTTAAAAGCAATCTGACTTGGCAACATTTACGAAAAAGCGCGTCAACCAGCTAGATCTTGTGTCTTTGTCGGATGATTTTACACGAACTGCAGGCTTTCACTATACAAATTTGTATAGCAATTATAATTCAAGGTTGAAGAAACTTTAATATAGTTTCGGCCATTCCTATGGATTCCTATGTGTAATGGTCGAGTTATATTACACAGGCCGAGTAAAAACTAGGCGGAATATTACTCGATATTTTTACTTCTACTATACGATTAATTGTGAAGTAAAAATATGACTAAGTAAAATTTACTCGGTTATTTTGATTAGGAGTAAAATTTACTCCGTTATTCTGTTTGTGAGTAAAATTTACTCCGTTCTATTTTACTCCTTTAAGTGGAGTTAAATTGACCCTCAGTGGAGTATATGTTCGAATGCATATATCGAAGACGTAGGCCGAGTAAATTTAACTTTTTCACTCCCAATTTTTAATTCTCAGTGGAGTTGAAATAACTCCTTGAAATTAACAGTGAACACTCAACTAAATGACCAATAAAAAGTTGGTTATAATAACTTATATAAATTGGTCGAAAGATGACCAATTTTTTCGACCAATTTGTAATAGTCAAAGGAACCAAATTTAATTGGTCAAATGCGACTAACTAATTAAACAATTGGTCAAAATGACCAATTGCTAATGGTCGCAACCTAAAAAATTGGTCATTTCGACCAATCAGTTTTTACAGTGTTATTTTATATACTCCACATGTAAATTTGCAATTGCCCTATAGAAATGCATGCTAATCGTAATCGTGATTAACCGAGGTACAGTACACTATGTGAGATTTCTAATACGAAATCAGCCAGAGTCAGTTCTTATATAATGGGGTTTAATTCTCCATCAAAAACAAACATTATACTGAATATCTCCATGCAAGTACGTTCCCATGCACTTGAAAAGTAATCAACTACTGTTTTAAGTTGCAATACTAGTACAGCAGCGAACTACAACTAATTCGCAAATCCAGAGCAAAACTGAAATCTCTTGAGTCTTGGTTTCTTATTTTCCGGCGATATACATAAAACTCAGTCAGTAATTTAGAAATTGTTCAAATAATTATACGATCAAACATAACATATGCATGCTTTCAAGTTTTAACACGTCAAATAATGGCGTTGCTTCTTAATTTGACTGTTGGCTGTATAATATACCTTACCTTGTAATACAGTAGTTGAGTAGTTTTGATGACGAACAACAGTACTTGTGATTGCGCTGAAATTAAGAGAAATAGGCAAGATATACCAATACGCAGAATACAGATATCTTTACCGCTCAACATGTACAACTGCATTAAGGTAAAGAAATGCAAAATTCAGATCAGTAAACAATTTTTGTATGATGTTATAATTAATAATCATTGTAGGGCGCCTAACTTAATAACTTAATTTCAATGCCAATGGCATGCAAGAACTTTTGCCGCCATGCTTTCACTTTCGCATCCGAGTTTTGAGCTGTTAATAAATCATAATACGTCAATATAACCATTTATTTAGTTCTGTTCAATCTGATAAACGATCGTTTTATCAACCTTACCGCGAATTTTTTGTGATTTATGTTCAAATTTAAATAGAATGCTAAGCGACATTAGCCATGCAGATAATGACCAATGCCTATATAATGGTTGAGATCTCGTCTTGGTAATAAACAAATCTATAGTATTCCATTTATGGTGTACGTAATGACTAATGTTTTCGAAACGTTTTTGATCAAACAGGGTCTGAGACAAAAGTTTTTAATAGAACATAATTAAGAACATTTAAAAACCTGAAGTTTGCTTAATTTAATTTAATTACTAGATATATATGAATAATATATACCACTTTTATATATGGTCCATATATATAATGACTATTTAAGAAATAGAAAACATTTTCCGTGTTTCTATAGAGTAAAAGAAACACGCGTGCTAGTTTGGGAGAACGAGAAATAATCAGTGGGAACACGAGCACGTAGTGCGAGTGTTTCCACGTTATTTCAGACTCGTTCCCAGTCGTTATTTGAATTTCAAATTTATAGGGACGAATAAGGTATATATCCATATATGTGTATATAGATCAGTACCAAAGGTGGACGCGCGCAAAGGGAAATGTAGCCTGCATGGCAGGCGGTCTAAAATACCGCCTGCTGGGTTTGACAGTGTAATTTGATAACCGCCCACTTTTTTGTCCGGGTCCAATTAGCCAATCAGCAAACACTAAATATATTAATAATCAAACTGTCAAACTATGTTATTGTTTGTTCGCAAAATTGCAAATGTATACAAATATGTCGAAAGAAACGCCATTGAAAGTTTCAATCAGGACCGAATAAGGCGAATAACGACAAGAGGTAGAAAAGCAAGCGCGGAAAATGTAAATGACTTGTCGTTTGTTTAAGTGTGCTTTGAAACTAAAATACGGGGCAATACGCCAATAGAGAAAATATCTTATATTCTTATATATCGTTGGAGAAATTATTTATTTAAGGCAAGCAAAAGAAACGTTACGACAGTGGTAAAACCTTGGCCGAAATCCAGACTGGAAAGTTTGCAAATTGCGCGACCGAGATCAAAATATTCCGGATTTTTGCGCGCCCAGTTTTCGAATCTGCGCGTTTGGTATCTGAATTAGCGCGTGCGGTTTTAATTCATAGTTTTCAGTTTTCACCAAACGTGACAAAGTAAAATTGTTTATTACATTAGTTCATGTTCTATGTTAGTTTATTTGCTTACGAAATTACGGAAATTTAAATCATCACATTCACGTACACCACCATACGAAACGCTCAACAACATCCGTTGCTTGCCCAAGCCTTTTTTAAGAATTTGTCCGTGGGGAGAAAGCAATCTACAAAAAGGGACCACATTATTGTATGTAATAGTAGGAGGGTCTGGGGGGATTCTCCCCCAGAAAATTTTTGAATTTTTCCACCCCTAGGACTGCATTTGGTGCATTTTCAGAACAGATTTTTGGATGCACAGCGTTACATTATAGACAGCACTTTAGATATATTCTTACAGAATCTTCAGTTACAACTCGGTCACTAACTTGTTTCGCCAATTAGTCTAGCCTTCCAACAACTCAAATCTATAGGGTCCGGGATATGCTATTCAATGAGGCACTGGCTTAAAATCTAATGTATTCAGGACACAATTTTTAGCATTTTTATAGACATTGAATTATTTGAAGATAAAAGACAGGACATAAGATTCACAAAGCAAATTTCAGTTACTAGAATATCAAATATTCTTTCCAAATTCCATTTTTCGTCCAATATAATTTGCTGATATTTTAGAGAAGAGACTTTGACTGGGGACCAAAATGGTTGAATGGTGGTGGGGAGTCATTGGGGCTGGGGGATTTTGGCTCCCAAGTTATATAGTTAAAAAGGGCCCTGTTAATGCTTGCAAACACTCCAAACAGTACTATATATTGCTAGTCTTGTCTATAACATATTCGTGCACTATACATCTACACGTCTATTTCACAAATTATCTCAAATTTGTACTTACAATACCTCATGGTCCATTTACATTATCTTACTAAATTACTAATATGTTATCTTTTAAATTGCCAATGGGCGATCATACATAGGTCCGTATATATATATATATATGGAAGGCAGGCACCTAATCGATGTTTGTTTAACTATTGTAAACTCAGACGTGTGTTCTTGAATGAGAATTGAATAAAGACAGTTAAATTATTAACTGATTTGTCAAGTACCCTGAAACGACTATATAAAAGCTGCAAACATGATTTGTTGGGTCAGCAACCAGGTGATGGTAAGGACGGTCATTTGGTTATTAAAGTATCTTTCAACAGCAACCAGGTGGTAGCAAGGAAGATATTTCAGTTATTAAATATGTATAAACAGCAACCAGGTGGTGGCTAGGAAGGTATTTCAGTTATTATATATTAAAGATAGGTAATCGGACCTCTACAGGCGTTTGGGATTTTGCGTTGTGCAACTTTCTTGTAAGCCTTATTTAGTTATTGGTTTCTAAGATCTTCACAGGGTCTGGAAAGTATACTTGACTTTACTGTGAAATATTGTATAGCAGGTACATGCATGCATGGACAGCATGGTTATAGTGTGTGCAGTGTTTTGTGTATTTCCTTTGTCAGTCCATGTCATCTAAAATGATTCCTTAATGATAGGAATAATTTGATGATGTACATTACTCACATGG